TCTTCTATGCTATTATCCTGAGACATTTTGTATGAACACTGAAAAACACTAAAAAAATCCCAAACAAACAAACCACCTAATGCCTATCGTTTCATTTGTGCCACTCAGAAATATAATTGGATTTTGCTTGTACATATTCTGTATTTCACAGTTGTGAGCACAACTGTGAAAACTTGTAACAATCAAATACCTGGAGGTAGGCCACACTGAATTTTAACCGCATATGAAGACATTCAAGAGGATTGTAATGTCTTCATGTAATAAGTTATTATGGATAGGAGTTCCAGAAGTTATTGTATGGGAAAGCTGGTTTCTAGGTCTGCATTTAAGAGTACTATCTGTTCATAAGCCAGTGAACATGGAAGTCTGAAATATGCCACAGATGTTCAAAATTATGGTCCTACACATTCTGTCTCTTTGGTTCCTACCTGTGAAGGTTTCTATCTAATCTTAAGAAATCTCTAGGAGGAATAGATACTGTTATTTATAAATTATTTGACATTAACCCAAACAATACAGACTTAGCATGGCAAGCAGGCATCTCTGGCTAGAAGGCTCACATCCCAGCTCAAGCCATCAGAAGGTAGTCATCAGGATAGCAGTGGGCTGACATGATTAAAAGGACAGAAGTGAGTTAGTGGAGGTGTTAAATGAAGAACGTCTTTCATACTCCCCCAAAACTGTTTCTCCATAGACAAGTTGGCTTTACAATACTGGAAAGGGTGACTCCTGTGACAGAGATGAGGTCTGGTCTGCTGACTGGCTGCTGCCAAAGCAGTTTCTGCTTTTTAGCCAGGGATGATCCAAAGGAATGTGCGTGCATTTCATAGGAGCTGCCCCATTCAAGTGAGTGTTCTGGCTGCTGTGTTAAAGTTCCCACTTTGTAAAATTATTGGCTGTAATGTAGCTGAATGGGGGAATTTTGCTCTTAGCATGCCACAGCCTCCAAAGTATGAGTGCAGGCTGGGTCCAACCCAGCGCCCCAGACCTGCTTCTTCCTGGGCAAGTGCTGCAGCCATTTGGTATCATGCAAAAGGTGGGTGTATCTCAGACATCAAGAGCCTTGCTCACAGGAGGACTAAACAGCTTGGATCCTGGGTGGCTGAAGATGCTTGGCATTGCCAGTGGCTCCTAACTTCAGCAAACCTGGCCGCCATTTGGAGATGAAATACTTCCAAGTGGAGCCAGCTCACTTTCCCTTTGCAAGACTTGAGCATCTTCTCATTTGGTGGGCCCCTAGAAATTCAGGCATGCAAAATCTCAGTTCCTGAGCAAAGCAGTGCCTGAAGAAGGTGACTGTACTGCACTCACATCATCTATCAGCCAAAAAGGAAGCTTTTTAACATTCCTGGCTCTGTTTTTCAGAAGGAGGCATGTAAGGGGTGATGAGGCATGCTGTTGATGAGTGGTTGGTGGGAGAAAGAAAGTTTCTCAAGAGCTCTCAAGATGGAGGGAAGAGGTCAGAATAAGTCTGAATCAACCAGAGAGTGGCTGTTTCAGCACTCAAGGAGGGATTAACAATTCTTTGATATTTGTTTTAATTATTATTGTTATTTACTCCTGACCTTTTCCAATTTCTTTCTGAAAGCTAAAGATGAAGGTGCAGGCATCTGTCCTGTAGCTCAGTGGCCCGTGTTGAGGGGCTGTCTTTCTCAGCCCCTGAGTTTTGTGGGGCTGAATGTGGCTGACATCATTGGCAATGCTGCTGCATTTTCTGTTAAAAGAGTAACTTTCAAAAAAGCCCCCTCCAAAATGGTAGAACAACTCCTGATGTGCAAAATGTCAAGTGTGAGGGCTGTGTTCATGAAGCACAATCTGTTATCGTGTACTTGCAGATTAGAGTATATAATACACAATCTTTTCCTACAGAAATGTGAGTCCTAATACACATGTCGAAAATTCACATGATGGAGAACTAGTTAACTGCAGAAATAACTGCTTTTCTGTAATCCAAGCAGTCAGCAAGAGGCATAGTGCAGCAGAAGAAAATGGATAACAACTGCATTTCTTTTTATTGAAACATCATGAACAAAGCCACAAGCACGACAACAACATCCAGTATTGAAGAAAGAGACAAAAGAATATGGACCTCCAACCATTCCTAGCAAATATATTACGTTGTCATCTTTTGGGCGCTAGAGAATTATTATCTGTGTCATGATATCTTTCTAAAGCTAAAAAGAAACCTCCTTGTGAATTGTGGGTGGATGATGTGGACCCACAAAGCAGCCACTTCTGCTAGCTCAGGAAAAGATAAAGAAGAGCAAATGCCCAAAAATGCAGGCAGGAACCTCAGGTCAGAACCTCATCCAGGTTCTGACAAAGCACTGGATTTTGCTATGATATCTCCAAGGGTGTCTCCTGCCCTCCCACACCAGGCAGATTGGCTCCAAAAACAAACTCTGTCTGCTACCATCATCAAGGCTGCGTGGCGGGGATATTGCACCCAAAGAGAAGTGGACAAAATTAACAAAGCTGCTGCCAGGATTCAAGCAGCTTATCGAGGCTACAGGACACAGCAGGAAGTGCCCTTTGGGTTTCATGATTGCCCTGCATACAGTAAGCTTATAGTAAAGGAGGAAACAGAAAAAAAGACAGCAGTTCTCCCTCTTGTCATGGAGCGCTGTGTGTGTTGGGCTAAGGGCTCCCAGGCACCAGGCGTTACCACTGAAAATGAGAGGCTGAGAGGTCAGTGCAGAGATAGACATGAACCAGGCACTTCGGTCACTCCTGGAGCCATTACCTTCAAAGCAGAGTTTTCTGTCACACCCTGTAAAGTCTTGACCCTTGCTACCCCTGAAGTCTTTCAAGCCTTGTCACCTCAACAGCAAGTTCATGATGCTGCAGATAAAATTTTTGCTGTGAGAAGAGCTTGCCAAAGAGCAATAAAATGGAAAGAGCTTGATAAAATGGAAAGACAAGCTGAGAAAATAGCAGAGCTAAGCCAGATCTTCATTTACAGTTATCGATTCACACAAAAATTTTGTAAGAATTACCAAATTTCAGAGTTAGCTAGTGTCACTAAAATGCAGGAGTGGACCACAGAGCCCCAAGACACAGTGCCGCACCTGGACAAGTCCTCACTGTGAAGTTAGAACTGAGAAAGGAAAACAAAGACTCTAATGCAGAGGGCAATGCACCATCTCTGAGAAAGATTAATGTGCATACAGTAGTGAAGGGCCTGAGCACCTCCAGAAGGCCTGTCTTCCTGCGTGTCTTCAGTACCAACGGAGCGGTGGAAGGCTTTTACAGGGCAGCGGGCGGCAGGCAGTTGCATGGACTGTACACGGTCAGAAAGCACGGGGGCTCAAAGCTGTCTCAAGTCCGCATTCATGTAGATGTGGTGGAAATGGAAAGGAGGACAGGCAAGAGTCCATGATGGTAGGAAGACGCCAAGAAACTCAGAATTGGAACGGCTCTTGTACTGCAAAACCTTTCCCTGTACTTGCAGAGCCTGGTCACCGCTGGAGCAACTGTCTGGGTGTACCTTGAAAGTGAGCTCCGTTCTGGTAGCCTCCCTCAAGGGTCCCAGGTAAAGCGCGCACAGCAGCCCGTGAGCATCTCAGCCCGAACGAGTCCGACGGATCCTTTATATCCACAGACCTCACCACAGCAGGGCCCTGGGCACTCCTGCACTGCCAGGGTCCTGCCAGGCGGGGGAGCCGGAACAGCGCGGAATGCGAGGCAGGGAAACGTCCACAGTGGGGACTGGGGAGGAAAAAGTCCAGGAGAAGCTGAAAGGGCCTTCTCTTTGTGTGAGAGAAGGTCAAAAATGGGGAGGAAGACAGTGGCGGCTGTGCTGGGGCACCGCGGGGGAGAGGAAGGACAGTGGGATGCGGTGCAGCTCCCTGTGAGGTAAAGGTGCGTGGAGGAGGAGCGATGGAGGGCAAACGGCAGAGAGGGAGAGATAGAATTGAGTTGTGCTTGGCGGAGCAAGCCAAGAGAGATGACAGCAGGAAGGTGCCTGGTGGGGACAGGGAGCTGGAGGAGAGTGGAGAGGCTTCAGGGCGTATGGGCAGGTTAATTGCAGTCTGTCAATAGCACTGTTGGTTTTGAGCTGCTTTCTGCAGCTGGGATGAGGAACTGTGCAGAGAAGGGCAGCTGCTCCTCCAGCCCTGCAGAGATGAGGAGCTAGGGAGGACTCTTGCAGATTCCCTATGTGTAGTACAGAAGCAGAATAGACAAACCCAGTGAGCTGCAGCTGGTAGAGCCTGCCTGAGAGCTTTGGAGGAAGCAGGTTGCAAGCCCACTGCAACACAAATACGGTGGGAGGACACTACGAGAAGGTCACTAATAGCGTCAATGTGACTTTGAACAACACAGAAACAGCATCTTTTTCATTAAAGGAAGCTGAATTATCTGATAAAGTTGCAGCTGCCAGTTATTAGTCCTCTGTGAGGAACTTAGATAAGGCAAATCTGAATCAGACAGCCCATGACTGTACTAAAATCTGGGCCACTGCACGGAATGGGCCCAGCTGTTGCTGAAAAGAACAGGCTTTCCATCTAGAAGTCAGCAAGCAATTAAATAACCCAAAAGAATAAATCAAAGCTGAAAGTGTTTCAGGTCTGGGTGCAGACTAGAAGAATTTTGCACCACTCTTTCTTGAACTCAAAAGCTGAGGGGGAATTCTCCTCTTCAGAGAGAGATGACAAAGTGACTTCCATTTGGGAAGAAAACAGAGACGATCCTGAGATCCCTTGGTGGAAGGGGGACCAGGGAAGTCCTGTTTTCCCACCTATATCTTAGTTAGGTTTACCCCCTATTTTATAGCTATAAACCAGCAAATGCAGTATGAAAAATGAATAAGTTCAATTAGGTCTGTAGGGAGGCTATTAGACCAAGCTGAAACAAACAGACAATCTTTCAGGCACATGATCTATCTTTCAGTCTGATCTGCAGCCTCTTTTTTCCTCCAGCTGTAACTGGCAGCATAATAAAAGACATTTCGCCTCCTTAAAAACCTAGCCTCACTTCTACTCCTAGCCTGCAGTGCCTGTAGTAACCCAAATACTGCCACAAACACATCAGAGTTTAGGACCCAGAGCCTTGTTTTAGGCTTACGGGGTGTGACAGCTGACTCAAAATCAATGAAGTGTGATTTACAGAGCGTCATAATGAGGCAAGATAAGGCTCTGAAATGTGCTGTCTTGCCTTGCAGACTCAATTGTCCGCCTTGATTTCTAGCCAGATTGTTCTAGTCCCCTACTAAAATGAGCCGGATTTGCTTATGAAAAGGAAAGATCAGATTTAAAGGAAAAGCCACGGTGGTGCCCATGCTTTGCCTAACGCTCTTTGTGCTGTGTCTGACCCATTCAGGTAAGTGTGATTTATTCTTCTTCCAAGCTGAGCTGCAGATGTTCAAGGGTTTTATTTTATTGCTTGCTGGGACAAGGTAGATGCTCGCTTCTGTTGGTCATCTTCTGAACACTGACTAGCAAAAGAGGATTCTATCAGTTGCTGCCTTTATATTATAGCCACAGCCAGTCTGACAACAAGGGCTGGGGGCTGGCCACTGGCTAGAAGTTAACAAATGAATCCTAAGCTTAGCTAGCACTGCTAAAGGGACTTACACAAGGGAATCTCCTTCACCAGGAGGAAAACTGAAATGCCTCATGAGAGCTGACGGGAGGCTAAGTGTCCTGTCTGTGCTTCTGAGCGTGGTTTGCATGTTTGTTTGACAGACTCCCTGCCCCAGCAACCCTGCTCCTGTGCCTATGGGGAACTTCTCCTGGAACAGACCAGAGAGACAAACAGGAACCTGGGGGAGAGGGGAGATGACAAAAAAGGCTCAGTTACGCACACACACAGTAACCTGCCAGGGAGCTCCAAGCTTCTGCCTTCTCTGTTCATCATATGGTAAATTCAGGGATGAGTCTGTCCTGTGGCCGCACTTCTGTTTTGTCTAAGGCAGTGCTCCTGTTATCAGTGTTTTGTCCATGGCTTTATCTAATTTAATCATCAGACGGGGCTTGACCAAAAGGAGCTGTTAGGCTGGTTTTTCCTCTTGGTATGTCTTCCTTTGCATTAAAATCCTCTGCTTTTAAATTGTCTTCCTGCAGCTACTGAGGCTGTCTTATAAGGACATCAATCTTGTTCCTTCTGGCTTTCTTGCTCATGAGACTTCCCAACTATTTTCACTGTCTCCTGTGGCTTCCCCAGCAGCTGAGAATCAATACCTCCAGCCCCAAAGCCAGCTTTACCACCCCTCTGCTATACTTTCTTGGAATATTAGGGCCTTTAGACTTCATGTGAAGTATGGGCTGTGAAACAGCAGTGTTATCCTATGAGTGGGTTCATACATAGCCACGGACAGCATGCCTGTGCTGTGTGTGGTTGTATATGAGCGTGCAGGGACTTATACTTAAATACACCCAGAGCAATGTATTCCAGCATTAAGGCAAAGCCGGTTTTGTTCCTGCATGTTTTAGGGTTGTGCTTTTTTAAAATCAAGGTCTTTCCCGTTAAATTTCCTGTGTTCAATAACCATGCACCCCTGTAAATCTCCAAATGGGAAAGCAAAAGGGCTGGGATCTAGGGTCTTTGCAGAAAGCTGTATGTGTCAGGGGATTGGACCACTGAGGTTGTGGGTAGTGAGGAGGGAGAAATATGTTCTTTCTCTTCCTTTGGTTGTGGATGCAATGCCTGTCTAGCATGTTTGGGCAGGCAATCCAGTTTCCTAGGATGGAGCCCAGACTCTGTCCCAGTTTGCTGTGGTGGAGCTAAGGTTAGCCCTGAGGGGAGAGCAAAGCCTGGAGCAAACAAAAGGGGCATTTGTAGTTTTCCAGATGGTAATAACAGACCTCAAAGGCTTGTGAGAAAGTGGCAAGGTACAGAGTGGATGCAAAGGCTGCTATAAACTGTTCTGACAGCTGCATGAGCCTGTCCCTGGCTGTGGTGCAGAGCAGGGGGAAAGGAGTGTGGAAGCTCTGTCTAACCGGCTGGCACCCACCTCTCCAGGGCCTGGTAACCCCACCACAACTGCTTGTCCAGCCACAGAGGATAAAAACAGCCTGCCCTAGAATATCTGACAGTACCGTAATCGTTACCCTATGAGTGGTAATCATTAGGCTTCAGAGTTTACAGCTTCTCAAAGAGGAATGGGCATTTGCCCGTTTACTGGAAGTGGGGGATGGCAGTGCTGCTTGGACCTTCTACTACCCTGAGAGAACAATTCTGCCCCATGGGAGGCTCTGGTGTGGCAGCAGGTTTTTTCTCTCTGGAGGGACTGCTGGGCTCAGATGCCCTTTCCTCAGTACCACGACACAGGGACCCTGCTGGGGGTTGCATTACCTGTGATGTTGCTGCATGCAAGTGTAAGCCCCTCAGCTGTGCCCCCTGCCAGGGCTCTCCCATTGCCTAGTCCTTGCACCATCCCTTGGCCATAACTCTGTGCCTAATGGCTGGCAGTTCAGGCACTTGTGTCCTGTGTGCTGGGGCTGGCAGGGCACGGGTTGTGAGGGGACAAGATGGACCCTGGCAGCACCCAGTGAGGTCCCCTTTGACTGCTGGCACTGCAGCACCAGCTGTGACCCCTGTGGCACAGTGCTGATCAGCATGAGCTCCTTTTCCCTTCATGGTGCTTTTGAGGAGAGGTGAAATCCTTCTCATACTTCCGGCTGTTTGTGTTCAGAAGGGAAGAGGTGGAGATCATGTCAGGACCTCAGCATTGTGAAGAGTGGGACTGGCATTTAGGAAAGGATGGAGAGGCTGACTGCTCTAGTGGATCGTCTAAAGGAAAATCAACCAAGACAGACTGGGCAGGTACTTTTCATATCTGGTGATATGAAAATATCTTTTCATACTTTTCATATCTGGTGTATGGGGTCCTTTTCTCTTGAAAAGGACCCTATACACTAGATAACACTAGTACAAAGTCATCACTGCTCTGATGATTTTATTTTTGAGTTGGGCTTGGGCTGCCTTGCCTTTGCCTCCTCTCACCCCAGCTCAGCTGAGACTCTGTGCATCTAAATTCCTACAGATTGTACTGTACAAGACAAGAGCTGCCCAGAGGCAAATTTGTCTCACATCACTGCTCTGCCACACTTCTTCAGCTTGTGCTGTTCTCCGTATCTGCTTTCTGGCATGCCTCCACTCCCTGTTGCTCCCTTCCAGATGTAGCTGCCTTCAGTTCAGGTGCTGAGAATGAGGATGCGCTCCTCAAGCACTTATTTCAAGGCTATCAGAAATGGGTCCGTCCCGTGGGGAGCTCCAATGACACCATCAAAGTCCTTTTTGGATTAAAGATATCACAGCTTGTGGATGTGGTAAGTATTGTGTTGGGCTTGGTAACATACCTTCTTTTACAGACAGTTGTGCATCCACCTGGGAGGGCTGGGAGGATGCTGTTGGCTTTTGCCTACTGAGATATGAAATGCAAAGTGCTGGTCAGGCAGCGAAATGCTGGGTGTGATGTGGTGCTGGTGGTAAGACCTCCTGCCCCAAGCATGGCATGGGCCTCATTTGCTTTGCAGCAAACCTGAAGGTAATTTTTTCCCTGCTGTTCTAAGGGAATAAGGCATCCCTTCATCAGGTATTAATCAGAAAGTCCCTGGTGCCTGCATTTGGAGTTTAGTGACAATGCAGCTGCAAAAAGCGGTAAAGAAGGGTAGAACTGGTTGGATATTGCTCACTCTAAGTAATCTTGTATCTAGACCAAAGGCAACTTGTATCTTGACCGAGATGGCCATGCAGATAAGACGCTAGAGACTAAACAATCCTGTGGTTTTGCCCATGTGGAAAGCTTCCCTTCCGTTTCCCCTCCATCCCAGTAGAATGTGAACAGGGCCAGACAGAGGTACCCACACAGCAGTGTTCCCCTCACCTCCCCTGCCCACTGGCAGTGTCTCCCTGTGCTGTGGAGAGCAGACTCTGATTTTGTGCTTTATTTACATAGAATCATAGGATCATAGAATTGTTAGGGTTGGAAAGGACCTTAAGATCACCTAGTTCCACCCCCCCTGCCATGGGCAGGGACACCTTATGCTAAATCATATCACCCAAGGCCTCATCCAACCTGGTCTTGAACAGTCAGGGATATTCAGGGATGTTTCAGCTTGTATCTTCCCAAGCTCACTCCAGGCTGAGAAGTGTGGGGAGATGAGCCATCTTGTGAGCCCACAGCCGTGCGTGTTCTGACCCCACTGAGCCCTGCTGCCTCCCTGCTCTTCAGCACCTTATTCCCTGGGGCTGCTGTGAAATGTAGACCTTGGGTTTCCAGCCTCAGAAGCTCTCAGCAAGAGCAGAGGCAGCACTTCGTGGGTCAATTCACTTCCCCACAACAGTGACTGAAGAGCCCAGGCCCATGGGGAAACAGGACCACAGGGATCTCATTTGCTCAGAACAGGGCTGGACTCAGTAGGCATGGGGTGTGTTTCCTCTGACTGTTCTGAAACTGCAATCCTCTCTACTTTGTGTCACCTTAGGATGAGAAGAATCAGCTGATGACAACCAATGTGTGGCTGAAGCAGGTAAATCAGACCAAATCAAACCTTCCCTTTCATTGTGGTGCTGTTGAGCCGAGTGGCCATCCCAGCCTGCTGCCCACTGTGACATCCATCCCTGTCATGACACTGAGCGGCCAGACAAAAAGAGCACCGTGTTACCTTGCCTGCAGTTTTCACTGTACTCCTCTCACTTCATAAAAGGACATGAAGGGGCCAGAAGGCAGGGAAATGGGCCTTGAAGAAGTAGGGTGCCATCTTCCCCCTGCCTGCAGCCTAGCTTTGTGCTCAAGGCAACTATACTTCAGGGAAGCAACATGTCCTGGTAGTGCAGTGGCTATCCCTGGGATGCTGCGTGTGCCCTGAGGGACTATCCTGTCTCAGACTCAGAGGTCAAACAAGTACGGTCTCTCTTGCTCAAGATGACTGATGCCTCAGATAGATTTCTTCTTCAGCATAATAAAGGGAAAGAAAAATCCAGCATGCTACCCATGCTACCCTAAATAAAATCTATGCCAAATTAATCAGATCTCTCTAATATAATTGCTTCTGGAAGTGACAACAATTTATACAAGTGGGGAAAGGTGCAAGAAAGGTTGTGAATTAGGTCTCCTTTCTTCTTCACTCCTGAAGAACATTGCATTTGGTTTCGATTACATTGCACCAGTCTATTGACCTTGTGATAATTATTTTAAGTATCTCAACCATGTGAGTATCTGTAAACATGTCAGCTGATCCTAGGCAGAGGACATAAAACCCAAGCCATACTTGAAATGGTGCCATGGGAAACGGTTCCCAGTGGTCACTGGGCTGATGGAGGAGAAATACAGCTCAGTTTTATTAACAGTTTGTTTGACAGAATATTCCTGGGCCTGACCTTCTTCTTAGGGAAGACTTGGCTGCTTGCTCTATCCAGTACAGCGAAGTCTCCTGTGTCCTGGGCAGCCTTCATCCCTCTGGCTGGCTGACATCTTCACCCAGGTTACAGTGACTGCAGAAAAGAGGGACCTGAAGTACTGACTCACATTAGCAGGCCAAATGCATAGGCAGGCTGCCCAAGGGCATTAGACCTGAGACGTTAATACAGAGAGACACCTCCTGATCCTTTCTCAGCTGCTACATGAACATGTGTGGAGATATTTCAGGTTAGCCCATCCATGCTGAACGCCCTGTCTGTACTGCAGCATAGACCTGCCCAGAGTCACAGCCTGGAACCTATGTCACTGCTCTTGCTGTGGGAAAACAGGTTCTCCTGCATGTTACTCCAAAGACGCTGCAGGAGGTAGGGACATGCAACCATCCACTCATGCCTCTCTGGTGTCGGGGAGAATGAGGTGGAAGCCTCATTTATCTGATCCTTCTGACTCATGCTGTGGATAAAAGATGTGGTGTGACCCAGGTCTCCTGCTTTGGGAGTCATGCGTTTTGTAGCTTAGTGTGAACTGGTCCCATGGGCAGTCCATGCTTGGCGGGGGGGGGGGAGGGGGGGTGTGTTATTAGTGCATAAGCAGAACAGCTAGGAAAAGGTTTTTCTTTTTCTTTTTTTTTTCTTTTTCTTTTCTTCTTTTTCTCTCTTCCCTTTTTCTTTTTTCTTTTTCTTTTCTTCCTTTTTCTCTTTTCCTTTCTTTTTCCTTTTCTTTTTCCTTTTCCTTTTCTTCCTTTTTCTCTTTTCCTTTCCTTTTCCTTTTCCTTTTCCTTTTCCTTTCCCTTTCCCTTTCCCTTTCCCTTTTCCTTTTTCTTTTTCTTTTTTTTTCTTTTTTTTTCACCTCAAGTGTCCATATGCTCAAGGTGGTGAGATTTCATGATGTACATGCAGGCAGACACACAAGGTGCAAAGGAGCTTTTAGTGGTTGCTGACAAAGTACCTGGGTTTGAGCAAGTTATGCGGTCTACTAGCAAGGGTTGATAATCTGGGTCCAGTGTTTCTTGGTCCACTTGCTGTGGGTTAAGCACTTGAGTGACATCCCAGAGATAGGAATTTGGCAGAACTGGAGGAAATGAGGACCAATGAGAGGGTCTGGAGCAGCTTGAAAAAAAGGGGAGAAAAAAGGAAATGGCCCTTTGCATCTGCTGCTACAGTTCACATCAGCATAGCCCATAGGCAGATTCCTATTTTAAACTGCTCATCTTTGAAGTCTGCACATAATCTATTTTCTGCTCTAGTAAGAAGACACACAACCATTTGCCCTGCAGACGTGAAAGAACACTTTAGCTGGGAGAAAATTCAGTGCAGGGCAGGAGGAGGGAGGAGGCTTGAGATGCAGCAAATAACCCAAGCAGAGGGGCTGCACCAATTCAGTTCCAAAGGGATGATTGTATCTCCTGGTGGCTCACAAGAGTATTTGTGTCTGTTGTGTTAGTATAGGCTATGTTGGTTGCTACTGTCAGCACTGGCTATCCCCTTGCGTAACAAATATGTTTCCAGCCTAAGCCCCCTTGCATCTATTACAGGAGGTGTCCAGGACACATGCGAGTCTGTACCCATCCAACAGCCCATGCTGCTGGAAACACCTGGTAGATACCCATCCACAGAGAGCAGTTCATGCTAAAAATGGTGAAGCTAAGAGCAGCAAAGATCCATCATCTATTTCCATACTTGAACAGCTCCCATCAATCCTTCAGCAACAGGAGGAGCCAGGGATGTAAAACTGCGCTCATAGCTGATGCCAGCCATTTGAGCAGTTCAGAGAGTGGGTCCATGTCTCCTCTGGTGCAGGTTGTGGGGCCATTAATCCTTCCAGTGCACCACCCTTAGCAACTGCAACCTTTGTGTGTGCCTTGGGCCAGATATTAGGAATGGTCTATCTGCCTATGACCTTGGGCCCCATCCCTCCCCTGCACCTGGAGGAAGAAGGCGCTTGCACCTACTGAGGCTCCGGGTTGCTGTCACACTGTAAAGGACCGCAATAACAAGTGTTTGTAGGTATAGCTGTGAAAAGAATGTGGAATCAAAGACATAAGAGGGGAGCAATATGGTGGGAAAAGAAGCAGAGAATAGCACTTTCTGGTTCATCCTTAAGTCATGGAGGAGATTGCCCAGAGAAGACTGAGGCTTCCACATCCCTGGGGAGCTCTTAGTGCTGAAGCTTAATGGAAACTGGTTCATCTTCTGCTTCTTTGTATTGACCGCAGTCTACAGCTCTTGCTTCCTCTCTCTGCTATTCCTGTGGGCAAGTGAAAACCCGCATCAATAATGAACTGGGATGAGAGAGCTGCTTTTCCACTGCATCTCTGTGGAAATCTCCAGGTTGCTAGAGCCACTTTGTGACTTTCTTCTTTTTTTCATCTGAAGAAGAAAAAGAGGGAAGAAAAATTATTCTGGAGTTCAACATGGTGAAAATAGACAGGACTCCCCCTGCTTTGCTTCTTTAGTGTTACCTCTTTAGGATTGTTAACCAAATGCTTTACAACAGCATAGTATTACTTACACTGCAGTAGTGTGCAGGTCTGTCTGATGAAAGAACAATTAATTGGTTTGCAAGGACAGCATACGGATATTAGGTGTAATCCATTCACTGAAAGAAGCCAGGTCTCCACTGAAAAGCAGTTAAAGGTCACCTCTCTCTCACCTGGGTAGTACCAGTCATGCCAGCTGGCTCTTCTATATGGTCAGTCTGCCAAAACCACTGCGGGTTGGTTGTCAGAGGGAAGAAGAGGTGTCATACCCAGGGGAAGCGTCTTCTTCCTTCTGGGCTACCTTCAGCTGGGCTGGGCAGAGTGGTGAGTGAAGTGAGAGTCAAGTGCTCTGCAGAAGTGCCTGCCTTGAGGTCGCCTGCAATGGGATGGGGTGCTTGAGCCCAGCTGTGGCTGGAGGAGCAGTGCTTGTGGGGACTAACATCTCCCAGCCATGCTGTGACCATTGTGCTGTGCAATGCAGTTTCTCTGTGGCAGGGGGTTGGAGGAGGAAGGAGGCTGTTGTGTATGAGTGAATGAATGTTATGTATGGGACTCTGCTGGCTTGTTACAGGAATGGATCGACCACAAGCTCTCCTGGAATCCAGAGGAATATGGAGGGATCACCTCCATTCGCGTCCCTTCTGAGTCCCTGTGGCTTCCTGACATTGTTTTGTTTGAAAAGTGAGTAGCACGGCTCTGGCTTACGCCAGAGCTTGGGCAAGGCATTGCCAGCCACTGTGAAGCTTGTGTGGGCTGTCAGAAGGCTGCTTCTTCAACCAGTATGAATGTTGGCTTCCTTTGTGCTCCAGGTGGTGGGTTGAAAGCAAGAGCTGTGAGGTGGTAGGTCTGGGACAAATGTAGTCTTGAACTTGGTGCTGTTTCTTCCTGTCCAACTCCTAGTGCTGATGGACGTTTTGAAGGATCCCTGATGACCAAAGCCATAGTGAAGTACAATGGATTGGTGATCTGGACACCACCAGCCAGTTACAAGAGCTCCTGCACAATGGATGTGACCTTCTTCCCCTTCGACAGGCAGAACTGCTCTATGAAGTTTGGGTCGTGGACATATGATGGCAGCATGGTGGACTTGATTTTAGTGGATGAAAATGTAGACAGGAAAGACTTCTTTGATAATGGGGAGTGGGAGATCTTAAATGCCAAAGGTATGAAAGGCAACAGGAAGGATGGGCTGTACTCTTATCCATTTGTCACTTACTCCTTTGTGCTGAGACGCCTTCCACTGTTTTACACTCTTTTTTTAATAATCCCTTGCCTGGGATTGTCTTTTCTAACTGTCCTGGTGTTTTACCTGCCTTCAGATGAAGGAGAAAAGCTTTCATTATCTACATCAGTTCTTGTCTCCCTCACTGTTTTCCTTTTAGTGATTGAGGAAATAATCCCTTCTTCTTCCAAAGTCATCCCTCTGATCGGTGAGTACCTGCTGTTCATCATGATTTTTGTGACCCTATCCATCATTGTGACTGTGTTTGTTATCAATGTCCACCACCGGTCCTCAGCAACTTACCATCCCATGGCTCCCTGGGTTAAAAGACTCTTCCTCCAGAAGCTGCCCCGGCTGCTCTGCATGAAGGACCATTTAGATCGTTATTCCTTCTCAGAGACTGAAGAAAGAGAAACCACCTTGAAATCAAAGCTCCCGGGGAAGCAGAAACACAAGCAAGCAAAAGACGGAGAGAAAATTGTTATTGCCTTTCTGGAAAAGGCAGCTGACTCCATCCGATACATTTCCAGGCACGTTAAAAAGGAGCATTTCATCAGACAGGTAGGTGAAGAGAAGGTAAGGAAGGGATCACAGTTTCCTTGACAGCAATGGCTTCCAAGCCGTTACCTTTTCTGCATTCTTTTCCCTTTGCCTCTTCCTCCTGCTCTCATCTGAGACATAACCTGGGATCTTCTCCTGACTCATAAGTCATATGTTTTCCAGGAAAGCGCATTGCTTCAAGGAGAACTTGTGCTGTGGGAGTGCCTGCTCTTCACAGGCACAGGAGGCCAGAGGAGCCTTTCCTGGATGAATTCTTGTTTGGGGATAATCTGAGTAACTTTTTCCTGCTTGAGCTGGGAATAGATACCAGTCTCGGAACTTTGCATGCTCTGAAAGTGTGCCTTTCTTAGTATCTATCTCAAGTATCAACACCTACAGGCAGGCTCTGCAGCAGTTGCTAGGTCTCAGTCCTTGTCTCCCAGTGACTACACATGGCATAGCTGCCCTGTTCTGAGCAGGAGTCTTCCCGATCTCCCCCAGTATCAGATTAGTCAGATTAGTCCCTAACTACCATCTTTCTCCTCTTCCTAACAATCCCGCTGACCAGTAAAATGGCAGATTACTGTGTGCATAAACAATGCTTCTCATGCGAGGGCAGGACAGCAATGCAGTGCACTTTGTGGCATGTGGAGAGAGAAAAACTTCTGTTAGCACTCTCCTAGTAAAAGCCGGGGCTTTGTTCGAACTCTGCTGAGAGGACTTCAGCAGAAAGTTGAACAGTAAATCACACATGCAGTATGCCAGCATATAGTGCTCATGCCTAAAGCCTTCTGTTTGAAGCTGAAATAATTCTTAATGAAAAAGTCCCCCTAACTGCTCTTTAAAAGTAGCTCATTTGTATGTGCAGGGTTGTGCCAGTACTCATAATGCAAAATACCCTTCCTGAATGCACACAATCTTAGCCAAGAGAGCACTTAGGAAAACACAAGCCAATGGGACCACTTGTACTGGAGGCACTGTTCACATCAAAATGCAGTGCTAGAGCAAAGTCCTGGCACTTCACGGGAAATGCAGTTCTGTGAAAAGAAACTGAGTTCGATTTAAAGCCATCTTCAGGCTCAAGTCTGTAAACTTTCACATGGGCACTTAGCTTTTGGACAGCCTGAAAGAAGTCTGATTACCGTATGTGTAAAACAATGGGATTATTTGGGGTTTTGAGTGACTCACAGCTATGGGTGCAGAAAAGGTAATCCATACCAGTCTCAGGGTGCAGCACACTTAAAAACAGACTTCTGGAGCTGAAATATGCGTAGCAGTTTCAACAGAGTACTGGGCTAATTACTGTTTCTGTTTGTTCTCCCTCTCGCCTTCCCAGGTTGTCCAAGACTGGAAATTCGTAGCTCAAGTCCTGGATCAGATTTTCCTGTGGTTATTTCTGGTAGTGTCAGTGACGGGTTCAGTTCTTATCTTTACCCCTGCGTTACAGATGTGGCTGAACCGCACTTTGTAGAAAATGCTCACACAGCAGCGTATAACAAGCACAATACCAAGGGATGGTGGGGCCTTTTGAGCTTGGTCTCTATTGTACAGGATGGGAAGCAACAGCAAGAACAAGGGAAGGTGATGGTAACAGTGGGCATTAACTAGTGCTTTCTATTTTCATACAACCCTACCAGTTACAGATTTGGCTGAGACCAGAGAAAGGCTTGGTGCACAGCTGAGTCCTAAAGTGAACTGGGATGCACAGTTGGGTTATAAGTATTTTACTAATAGTTTGGTTTATTACAATAAAAGCAAATATTATTAGTAAAAATTGCAAATAGTACTTCTGGCACAATTATACTTAAAAGGCAGATCTGCCAGTTAAAATGCTACTTTATAAAAGAAGTTAGAGTAGGAACACAAATCAGTACTCAGTTTATCTACTTTTCCAAGTGCAAAACACAACATCCGTACAGCTCGCTTTGTGCATGTGTCAGAACTGGCAATTACACAGCATGTGGATCGGAAAAAGTGCAAACACCTTTTAGATGGAATGTTCAAAATCTTGGCTTTGTGGCCTCACCCTGCTGCAGGATCAACTCAACAGTGGCAGAACTTAACCACTCTGCGTACTTGCTACCAGCCTTTATGGCATGCACACTTCATCTCTCCTCTTGGCCATCAGGAAGCTACAAGGTGTTGCCCTCTTTTCAGAGATACAATTTTGCCTGCTGCTCTATAATATACCAAAAGGCTGAACAAGTAAGGATTTTCCCCATGCTCTGCATTTAGGAACTGTGATTGCTGCACCTGCTTGTTCACAGGACAAGTGGAAGATCACCTGAAGCACGTCACATGTAGAAAGGTCGCTGCACTACTTTATAAGGCAATAGTGAACTTCCTAAACAGTTCAGTTGCAGAGAAGTTGCAGACAACGTTTTCAGCAAACGAAACTTGTGGTTGGTGCAGAAGTAGAGCTTCTCCTGAGAGCTGTGGGGTGGGCTGGCTACCAGGACAATACGTTTTTGGGGTTTAGCTTGTTTGTGTTTCCAGGCAACCCAGAGTTTCCTGTGAATCATTTAAATGGGATCCCTCTGCATGATTAGAAACAGTTCTTTAAAGTGTAAGTGAGACCTGACAGAAAATGCACAGGTTTCTCTCACCACTTCTGCTGTGGCAGTGTTCAGGCCAACATGGAGTGCTTTAGAAAATCCCATTCAGAACTTGCAAAAGTTTTCAAGGCTAGCAAGGGATATGGAGATCAAATTTTCAACAATCTAAATGTGAATCTGGTGTTAAAGTTTTAGGTAGCCTTGAAACTTTCCTAGGGGTGGAGGTTAGAAGGTATTAAAAATACACACAGGTATTCTGGTGCATGGATTACGTGTTGCCACCAGACCTCTGTGAGTTAATACAATCCCATCTTGTCATGTCACTACAGAAAGTTCTGTTCACTTGTGCAATTGCTGTTAATAAAGATGTATTTATTAAATGATTCTTGGGGTGACAGTGCTTATATGCTGGGTTTTGTTGATGTTTTGTTGTCAACAAAGTCTAGATTGTAGCCCATTTTAGAAGACTTGTCTCAAATTGACTTTAACAGAGAGGGCTGTCAATGTTCTTGGAAAACCCTCATAACTTTTTAGCTCTGTCTGTGAGTTTGAGGAGGGAGCATTCAGATCTGGTTATTATATTGCAGGAACCTAGAACAGGCCCATTTAATTTAGTGTATATGGGCAATAGATGTCTTAATATACAACACTGCCATAAATCTCTTACACACTGACCTTACCACCAGGTAAGGTCCTCTCTTCTTGCATTAAGTCAGTTTGTTCCCCTAGCCAGTATTGTGAAACATCTGTAGGAAAACACACAGGAAGCTCTTTCTTCCAGCATTTACAGACTCTTGGAATTATTAGTGACAGGCTTTACTCAGAACACTCCTGCAAGGAGCCTGCCAGCTAGCCATGACCTCTCTGGGGCAAGTGCTTTGGGTGCTTAGCTGGCAGATGGTCCTGTCCTCACCTTGCAACACTTTGGTTGCCCACCTGCAGGTGAAGCATGGAATCAGACTCTACAACTCAGAGAGAGTTGTAAAGCAGGTATGTTTATTACGGCACTGGGTGCAAGGGGGATCACTCCTCCTAACTTGCACACCGAGGGGTTAAGCAAGCAGATATTTATTACACACAAACATGCATATTCATTAGGTCCCCAAGAGAGTGTTGGGGCTATCGCAATTAGTTTAGGTAGTCATTACCATAAGTCTCCTCCCTTTCAGCACTTGCGCACTGCCCTCCGACGGTCATGGGCAGGGGTCTTCAAGATGAAGTAAGTAGTCTTCCTCATGGTGTACTTTTCACCTTTGGCATAGTTGGATGCCCCAGTGATCACAAAACTAGCTGAAACCAGCCATATCTGTAAGTTTCTGATAGCTGACAAAGATTTAGAACAGTGTGACCTTTGTACAAAATTTATTGCAAGCAAAATAGGATGGGCAGACAAGGAGTATCCCAAGTTAGCAGATGTTTGGGAGTCACTGTCTCCAAACAAACTGATAATTAGAAGGAAGCTAAGAAATAATTCACTCATTAGAAGGATGGTAAGAAATAATTCACTCATGTAAGACTACTAAATTCTGTCATCACACCACAGACTTACAACACAAACATTGGTCTCTATCTTAGACCTAAGTTAAGTTAAAAGTATTTTAAACCTATGTTTTCCAGGCACTTGTTTTCCTTATATCACAGGCAACACATGGCTGTGTCTCATGGTTGTGTCAGATGTCAGGCTGCTTTTTCTGCTTCTGCTGCTAAAGGTCAGCAGTGCTGACGTCCTTGGAGTAGGAGATATTATGAACTCTGCCCAGGTATGGCCTTTGGGCTCTGGCTTTCCTGCAGTCTTGCTACTCATTATTTCCTTGTGCTGACTATTTCTGAGCTTCCCTGAGCCTCTGTGCCACTGGTCTGCAAATATATTCAGCACGTCCCACAGCCTGGCCTGCAACTAAAAACCACAACCAGGGAGGACACTGGGGCAGATAGTCCTCTGCTCCTTTCCTCTGCTCCACGTGCTCTATCTGCCTGTGGATGACAACATTGCAAATTGCAGATCTTAAACCCTCCAAGCAACCCTCTGCCTTACTACTGCCTCAACACGTGCTGCTTTGATTTCTGTGCACTGGTTTGCATTGACCTTAACACTGCTCTGCAGGACCATGTGTATCATCATTCACAGTGAGACAAATATGACAAACTCCTTTGGGCCTTTTAGTGAGGGGAAAGTGTAAAAATGGTCTTCCTTGGGATGGCACCAGCTCTCGTTGAAACTTTTCTTAGTATTTCAGTTAGAAGATCCCCCAGAAAGAGCTGGGACAAGCAAAGATGTCACTTTTGTGTGGGTTCTATGTCTGCTCAGAGATGGGCCTCCACCACAGCTTTCCTCAAGGTGAGATGCTTATTGTGCCACTCACCCCCACTCTCTAATCAACCAACTGCTTTCACAAAGCTGGCAGGGGTATGCAAGGATCCCAGCCTGGAATGGGCCAAACACAGCTGAAAATGGCAAAAGAAGGATCAAAAAGTTACTGGGTGGGTTGAAGGAAGAGGAAACAGTGCACTCAGAGAGACAGAACGTGACTTTGTAAATCTTACTTTCTTAGGCTGATGAGCTAAACCCTGTGAGGTCCAGAGGCAAGCCAGGTGATGCGTAGTACTGTAAATGGCAAAGACAGGGAGCTGGTGCTGAGACACTGAGGCCCCCTAACTGGAGGCAAGGAGCTGTGCAATTGTGAATGCTTTGATAAAAAAACAGGGATTTTGCAAAAGTCATCTTAGTGGCTGTGGGGTAGTAGCTGTCACGCCTAAGACACCAACACGGTACACCTTCAGCCACAGAACTTTCATTGCTCAGATGGTCATAGACTGCAACAGTGAATTTCCTGTAAAATGAAGCTTTCAGGCTTAGAATGCAGCTCTCAGGCTTAGAATGCAGCTCTTCCCTTTTCTTTTCAGTCCCCTCCTTTCTGATTAAAGAGCCACATAACAAATATCATTTAGTAGCATCTCTAAACACATCATAAAAAGGGGAGTTTTTTTAAAAATACAAATTCTTCAAGAAAGTATATCCCAGGATTGATATTTAATTGACAGGCTGATGAAGCAAACCATGCTTGTTCATATATCTGGCTATCAGTCGCACCATTTATGCACCATTAAGGGGGTTTACAGAAAATACAGTTTTCTTCTAGAAAATCATGACTTTACATATTTCAACTACTGGATTAAGACAGTTATATTATTTTCATTCCATCTTTATCTCTAACATGTACACTTAGTCAGTTTTATTTTCTTTATTATGGAGCATCAAAAAAGAGTAAAAGGCCAGCCAGGGACTTCAGGAACACAGAGTTATGCTTTCCAACGACTGGTGACGTTCAAAGCAGAGACTGACACATGGCAGACACTGAAAACATTGCACAGACACCAAAAACACTGCACAGACACCAAACAGTTAAATTTAGAGCCTCCTATAAGCAAGCAATGCTTTTTACTCTTGCAGCCATTGGCTTTAATTGAAATGGTGTCTTTTAGAGAAGAATCCTTCAGCACAAACTTAATAACATCTTAAATGGACATGGGATCTGAGGGTAAACTGTCCATATAGAATAGAAACACATAAAACGTGCATCTACAGTATTTGAGGATTAAACGCAGTAGGACTGGGAACCTAACCTGGTTATATGGCAGCAACCTCAGCCCCAAAGGAAAAGTCCCTGCAGTCACAGGTTTGCACACACAGCACTGACTCATGAGGAGCCAGCAAATGGAAAATTGCTGCAGAGCTGTTCAGCCCAGCATGTGCAGCTTTGCATAGTGCTCAGGATAACCAGCCTTCTCCTGCTGGGTGTGTGTAATCCAAGTTGGTCAACTCAATCCAGTGCTCTAAAGCCAATACTGTCTGTGATAAGTAGCGACCTAGAGACAAAACCTTCCCTGCTGGCCTTATACCTGAGCTAGAGCATGCAAAGATTTTCAGAGCAGAACCTATAGACTGGGATCACTGCTAACCTGATGAGAGAAATGTGGCTTGGAAAACTTACTGAAGCTCATGAAACTCTTGGTACTTGGTATCACAAAGTAAAGGGGCACTTTGGTGACATACAAAGTCGCAGGATTTCAAATGTCACAGAAACATGTAGTTTTCAAATGTGGTTGCCTTATAGAGTAACCACATTCTAATACTATGTCAGTTTGCCTTCAGCTGTGATTAACTGCATAAAAGCTGTCTGACTGCAAACATAAATATAAACTCATGCTTTGTTGATCTGGGACTCTCATTTGTGCACATATATAGTGGAAGATGGGGAGCCCTTATTTTAGATTGTATTGAAAATGTTACAGTGTTGGGGGATTAGGTTTTTTTGTGCTTTTATTTGCTACCTTCAAACAAGGACAGGAGAAAGAGCATTGGCATGGTCAGGAGTGTGGTAGCTCATCTAAGCACCATGCCAAAAAACTAGCTGTTGTACAGGGAGAGAAATAGAGAGAAAATGTAAATTAACTCAAAGCTGAGGGAGAGTTATAATCAGGAGAGGAAAATTAAGCCGGGTAGAATCGTCTTTGGGCAATGCACTCAGAAGTGCCAGGGCTGACCTAGTAGCCCCCTATTCTGAAACCAACTGAAAAGCTCAATAAATTCATTCTGCTCCTCTGATCATCAGTGTGATTGTTATTGCTGATCTCATTGAGGGAGAGACCCCATGCCCATCTCCCATTTTCAGTCCTCTTCTTATTGTTTTAGGTTGTTTGCTTTCCCAGTGGACCCTTCCCTCTCCTTTTCCTTTCCTCTGTGGCTGGATGCTGAGGGGGTGATGAGGAAAGGGGTTATGTAAGAGAACAGATATACAGGGAACAGTTCTGAACCGAAAATGAACCAAGAACAGAAGTGGATAAAAAGCAGTGAATCGAGTTACATATCTGCTATTAGTGGCTGAATGAAGAGCCCTGCAGTCCCAAACACACAGAGGATTATAAAAACCCAGAGGAACACTCTGTCTATTACCATAGCTACGTATTTCCAATCATCTTCCACCTGCAAGAGAAAAAAAAAAATGAAAAGGATAAACTGCATGTAATGTAACATGTAGTTAGTTGCAAGTTTTGCCCATAGAAGTGGTAAATGCTCCACCCCTGGTGGTGTTCAAGGCCAGGTTGGACAGAGTCTTAGGAGACACTGTTTAGTGTGAGGCATCCCTGGCCATGTCAGGGGGGGGTTGGAACTGGATGATCTTAAGGTCCTTTCCAACCCAGACTATTCTATGATTCTATGACATTATGGAATAGAAATGTCCCTTTTGCTTTTGAATGTGAGGAAGAACATGTATACAATCAAGAATGTTGCTTGTTGTGCTTATAGTTGCTGCAGTTTTAAATATCTTTAGTGGGGGCTGATT